CTGGTCCTTGCACGGGCTGGCCGCCCGGGACCCGGGCGGCCCGGCTGGTAGCCTAGAATAGAACCCTGTTCCAGGGGAGAACAATGCCAGACCCGGAAATCAAAGCCGTGTTCAAGGCGTTGACACGAAGGGCCATTTTTTTGCCAGATTGGGAAAGAAAGGTCCCGAAAGGGACCGATTTCGGAGAGGGGGGCTGGGCTGAGATGGTTCAGAGGGACATGGGCGGTCAAGGGCAAAGTGGCCACAATTTTTTTTTTTTTTTTTTTTTTAAGTGGCCACAATTGATGGCAAGGAGAAGGTAATTATCGCGGTATCTGGACTGGAAGTTGCCCCAAACACAGCGATAATGTCCGGGCGTTCTATTCGGGTGAAGACGGTAGTTATACCAATGCAGTCGGTTTTTATCAGCAATAGGAAGCCAGACGGGAATGGGGGTGGGGGGAAGAGAGGGGTAACCGGGTCTGCGGTCCCGTTGTAGGGTCCAGCAGTCAGATAGACGGCCTGAGAGAGCAGAATAAAGAGAGATGGGAGGATAGGCTGAAAGATAGAATAGTAGGACACGATGGAAGTAGATAGGGGGAGTAGGATAGGAGGGGGGGAGCAAAGGAAGTGGGGCATTACGGGATTGGAGGGAGGTTTGATTTGGGAGATTAGATAGAGGGATGTGCTGGGGTACATTTGGCTTTGGTTTCATCTGGTCGGTTTGGATTGGTACTTGGTACTTGGTATTGGTTTTGGTATTGAGTGTTGGCGGCTTAAGGCCCGTCGTCCTGTTGGTTGGGACTAGTAGTCCCTACGAACTGAAGCTGGGCAAAGTCCCAGTCCCATTCCCAGTCCCTTTGTTGTCTGTGTCATTCCGGGGCCAAGGTCCCACTTACACGTATTAAGAGATTCTGGCCGTTGATCTTTGCTATCTACGGTCGATATCGCTTAATTCGTGTAAGTGGGACCTAGCCCCGGGTTGTTGTTTGTGAGAGAGATTCCCGGCCTCATTTGAGTTCTTAATGGAATTCTTTGCTTTTCCCAAAAAAATCAATAAATAAATGGTA